CTGCCGCCGAACCAGCGCGTAAGTATAGACAAGCCCAAAGTCTGCTTTTCTGAAGACCAGGGTCTGTATTCTGCTGCTCTCCTTTCTTCCTTGTGTAAGGATCCTGAACTCGACCATCTCATGGTCACTGCCTCCCAGGTTTCCATCCACTTTTGCTTCCCCTACTAATTCTTCCCTGTTTGTGAACAGCAGGTCAAGAAAAGCTCTGCCCCTAGTTGGTTCCTCCAGCACTTACACCAGGAAATTGTCCCCTACACTTTCCAAAAACTTCCTGGATTGTCTGTGCACCACTGTATTGCTCTCCCAGCAGATATCAGGGTGATTAAAGTCTCCCATGAGAACCAGGGCCTGCGATCTAGCAACTTCTGCTAGTTGCCAGAAGAAAGCCTCGTCCACCTCATCCCCCTGGTTTGGTGGTCTATAGAAGACTCCAACCACGACATCACCCTTGTTGCTCACACTTCTCAACTTTATCCAGAGTCCCTCAGGTTTTTCTGCAGTTTCATACTGGAGCTCTGAGCAGTCATACTCCTCTCTTACATACAACGCAACTCCCCCACCTTTTCTGCCCTGCCTGTCCTTCCTGAACAGTTTATATCCATCCATGACAGTACTCCAGTCATGTGAGTTATCCCACCAAGTCTCTGTTATTCCAATCACATCATAGTTTCCTGACTGTGCCAGGACTTCCAGTTCTCCCTGCTTGTTTCCCAGGTTTCTTGCATTTGTGTATAGGCACTTAGGATAACTCATCGATCGTCCCTCTTTCTCAGCATGAGACAGGAGTCCTCCCCTCTTGCGCTCTCCTGCTTGTGCTTCCTCCCAGGATCCCATTTCCCCACATATCTCAGGGCTTTGGTCTCCTTCCCCCAGTGAACCTAGTTTAAAGCCCTCCTCACTAGGTTATCAGCCTGCTGGCGAAGATGCTCTTCCCTCTCTGGAGCCCGTCTCTACCTAGCACTCCTCCTTCTTGGAACACCATCCCATGGTTGAAGAATCCAAAGCCTTCTCTCCGACACCACCTGCGTAGCCATTCGTTGACTTCCACTATTCGACGGTCTCTACCCAGGCCTTTTCCTTGCACAGAGAGGATGGACGAGAACACCACTTGCGCCTCAAACTCCTTTATCCTCCTTCCCTGAGCCACGTAGTCTGCAGTGATCCGCTCAAGGTCATTCTTGGCAGTATCATTGGTGCCCACGTGGAGAAGCAGGAAGGGGTAGCGATCCGAGGGCTTGATGAGTTTCGGCAGTCTCTCCGTCACATCGTATATCCTAGCTCCTGGAAAGCAGCAGACCTCTCGGTTTTCCCGGTCGGGGCGGCAGATAGATGACTCAGTCCCCCTGAGGAGGGAGTACCCGACCACCACCACCCTCCTCCTCCTCTTGGGAGTGGTGGTCGTGGAACTCCCATCCCTAGGACAGTGCATCTTTTGCCTTCCAATCGGTGGAGTCTCCTTCTGCTCCCTTCCCTCAGATGGGTCATCTAGTCCACTCTCCGCATTAGTACCTGTAGAGAGAACATGGAAATGATTGCTCACCTGTATCTACATTGCACCCCTGGGTCCTAGTGTCCACCTTACCAGAACTTCCTATGCCTGTTCTGACCCTTCCTGCAGGCTCCCACAGCTAGCTGCTGCAGCCTGGTGACTCTTATTCCGGGGGGGATCTAGTAACTTAAAAGTGAAAAAGTCTACAGCCTGCCAGACCTATTAGCCCAACACTGAAACTGTTAAAGAGCCATTCAAGTGGTAATGAAGCCATTTAACAGGCATTTGCCACCCCCTCCGTATATACTGTCAGTTTCTGAATTTACTGACAAAAACCGTTGTGCATTACTGTAATATTTACTCAGAACATGTTAGTTTACAGGACCTTAGTTTAAAATTTGCTTTAAAAATATTTCATTAGAAGATTGCTGGAGATTATAAAATCACATCTTTAAAAAATCCTTGCATAGGTTTTTAGATCCACAATCTGAGTGTTCATCTTTAGCCTTAAATCTTCAGACGTATAGTTTTTTAAATAAATCCTTCAAAAGACCACTCTTATCTAAAATACACATTTTAATTTTAATTACTATAGTACAAAAAACTTGCTTCCCAAGTCTTCCGGTCCTTTCTGTCCATCCCTTTCTCCCTTCACCCTCCCTCCTCCCCCCGCATTGAAGAGAGGCTAGCCCTTAAAGGGAAAACATCCCTTTCCTTCCAGACAAACAAGTTTCCCTTTCTTTACTTCTGACTATTTGATGAACTAGTTTTAAGAGAACCCTCCAGCAAAATCAGTACCTTAGTAAGATATAAAATCCTTTGTTATGCCTAAAATCTTTGGAAACATATTTTTTAAAGTTAGTGAAATTTCATGTCTGTTGTTATGAAGATCACACACAGTAAATTAGTGTTCCCTTTTTCTAAAAGCAATTAACATTGTTATGAACACACTAAACCTCTGTGACTGATTAATTTAAAATAATGTCTTTGTTTCAGTGAGTTAAATATGTAGTAATCTGGAATGGTTACTTTATGAAGGCTTAAGAGTACATTTAAAATATAAAATCAGCTTAGAAATACTGATTAAGAAAATGTAAAACAGAGAAGAGCTGCATCACATATTCCATAATATTTAATGTTGTATTCAGCAGGACAGCTGACTGCCCTTACTACAAAGTTTTTGCAAATAAATCTCTGACAAACTTCAGGGTATGTCAAAATACCTGTGACTGACATTTTTTATTCCTAAATTTAGTGCTTTTAATTAGGTACCTGTCTGCATGTCTGATCTTCATCTTCTGGCATTCAGTGGAAAACATGCTCCATTTTCTTTTGAAAAAAAAAATCTTCTGCAATTTCTTTTTAATGTCATTTGCTTCATTAGGGTTCAGGGATTTGGCTGGAAGGAGGTGAGCAGGGATGGGGAGGGAAGAGAGGAGGGAGACAGTGGGAAGGGGCAGTGCCTGGGCAGAGTGGGGGCAGGGCCTGGGGTGGAGTATGGGTGGGGCCACAGGCAGAAGAGATGGGCTGGGGGGCTAGCCTCCCCAAGGAGCAGCATCATCCACTGCCCATGACAGCAGGTAAGAGCGGGTTGGCTCCCACATACCCAGCAGGCGCTGCAGTGTCCTTAGGCAGGAGCCATATTTACAGAGCTGAATGCGCTGGTGCCGTGCTGTGATGGGTTCAGTCACAGAGACCCCCTTGGGACTGTCACCTGAATTGCTGAGATTACCTCTGAGACCGTTTTCCCTGCCAGCTTGGGACTCCAGAACCCTGCCTTGTTGAGCCAAATATGCTAACCTGCTGCAGCACAGACTCAGGGTCTGAACCACGCCCCCAAATTTGCAGGCTTTAACTGAAAACCACTCAGCAGGTCACTTATCTCCAGCACCCAGACACCCAGTCCCAGTAGGATTCAAACCCCAAATAAATCCGTTTTACTCTGTATAAAGCTTATACAGGGTAAACTCATAAATTGTCCGCCCTCTATAACACTGATAGAGAGATATGCACAGCTGTTCGCTCCCCCAGGTATGAATCACTTACTCTGGGTTTAGCAATAAACAAAAGTGATATTATTAAGTATAAAAAGTAGGATTTAAGTGGTTCCAAGTCATAACACACAGAACAAAGTAAGTTACCAAGCAAAATAAAACAAAATGTTTTAAGCCTAATACATTAAGAAACTGTTTACAGGTAAAATCTCACCCTCAGAGATGTTCCAATAAACTTCTTTCACAGACTAGGCTCCTTCCTCGTCTGAGGCCAGTTCTTTCCCTGGTACAGTCCTTTTAGTTCCAGCAGGCATCTTAGGTGAAAAGCGGGGGCTTTCTCATGACTGAGACCCCCCCTTGTTTTGCTCCACCCCCTTTTATAGCTTTGGCACAAGGCAGGAATCCTTTGTCTCTCTGAGTCCCCAACCCTCCTTCTAAATGGGAAAGTACCAGATTAAGATGGATTCCAGTATCATGTGACATGGTCACATGTCCTGTGAGACCCCTAGTCTCAATTCTTCCAGGGCTGGCCCACACATACCCAGAAGGTTTACAAGTAAACAGAGCCATTTACAGGTGATAGATTCTGAAGCACCGTTAATGGCTTCCACTTAACATGTTTACATCAGTAATTCAAGTTTGTAACTTATTCTCCTAACTCCAAACATAGAAATAATCCATGCAAACAAATGGGATGAACACAGTCAGTAGATCATAAGCTTTGTAATGATACCTTACAAGAGACCTTTTGAATAAAGCATATTTCAGTAACATCATACTTATACTCATAAGCATATTTTCATAAATCATTATGGAGTGCAACATCACACACACATTCTGCGTGAGGGAGAGGGTACGGGGGTCTCTGTGCAGTTATGCACCCACCTTATAGTAGCTCAATCTAGGTTGTATTTCCCTAGTTTGTTTATGAGAAGGTCATGCAAGGCAGTATCAAAAGCCTTAGGGTTTGTCTACGCTGGCAATTTCCGGCGTTGAAACTTTCTTGCTCAGGGGTGTGAAAAAACACAGCCCTGAGTACAGCAAGTTTCAGTGCTGTAAAATGCCAGTGTAAACAGTGCACCAGGTAGCTACGCCTCTCGTAGCGTGCTGGGCAGTGTAGAGTGCTGGGCAGTGTAGACTAGTCCTTACTAAAGTCAAGATATACCACATCTACCACTTCCCCCCCCCATCCACAAGGCTTGTTACCCTGTCAAAGAAAGCTATTAGGCTGGCTTGGCATGATTTGTTCTTGACAAATCCATGCTGACTGATATTTATCACCTTATTGTCTTCTAGGTGTTTGTAAATTGATTTCTTAATTATCTGCTCCATTATCTTTCCCAGTACAGAAGTTAAGATGACTGGTCTGTAATTCCCCAGGCTGTCCTTACTTCCCTTTATTTACTATATAGTGTCCCAGGGCTTACTGGTGATTCTCCCTTTGCTGTGTTACAGGAGAGTTACCCACTGACCATCATCACCTATGTGGGACTGACCCTCTCCCTGCTGTGCCTCCTCCTCGCCATCCTCACCTTCCACCTGTGCCGCTCCATCCGCAACATCAGCACTTCCATCCACCTGCAGCTCTGCCTTTGCCTCTTCCTGGCCAACCTGCTCTTCCTCACCGCAGTGACCCGCAGCAGGAGTCGGGTCTGTTATCCACTTTTATTCTTGGTTTAAAATTGAGCTGTGTCCAGATCTTCTGTCAGCATTTCTAAAGCTCCCCTCACTCCAGCACCTTTTTATACCCTCAGCTGGACGGTAATGTTTATTCCATGCTCTTTAGTCCTGCAGAAATAATTATTTACTTCCCTCCAAAAGAAATCTCTATGGGTGAAACCAGTCCTTCCCTTTTCCTTGTGGGCTCCTTCCTTCATCATTCAAACAAAGGAACCCCGATTTCCAGAGTCACAGTACCCTGCCTGTCCTCTCTGCCCCCAGACTGATGGGCAGATGCAAGACGCCTATACCCTGAAGCAGATATAGAGAAGAGAACCTACACCCTCCAGGTCTCTCCCTATTATGAGGACTGGGAACTTGTTTATGTCTCTGCTCCCTTTCCTAGGATTCCTCACAGTATCCAACTCTTTTCTGAGTGGAGATCAGGACCGGGCTGGACTCTGAATGATTGAAAGGGCCAGCCAGCTTGCCCTTAGACAAGCCTCTGTAGACTGAAGAATGTATTGTCTCTGGGAGAGTGCCATAACTAGAGAGATGTGTTAATAAAAAGCCCTATGTGATCCTCACAAAAGTTCCCCCACCTCCAAATTCAGTATTTCCCTTCCCGGAAGCAGTGTCCCAGAGCTCTCTCTCATCCTGTCCTCAGGTGGTGTGTGCTGTCATTGCTGGTTTCCTACACTACCTCTTCCTGGCCTGCTTCATCTGGATGTTCCTGGAAGGGCTGCACCTCTTCCTCACTGTCAGGAACCTGAAGGTTGTGAATTACACCAGCGCCAGCCGGTTCAAGAAGAGATTCATGTACACATTTGGCTACGGATTCCCAGCCCTGGTGGTGGCTATTTCTGCAGCGGTGAATCATGAAGGCTATGGAACTTCCAAATAGTAAGTGCAGTGCCCATCCTGAAGAGGAGCTAGGATGTGGCTTCCATACAGTTGTTCAGCTCACCCCAGGTCTGACTTGAACCTAGATTTCCCGGCTCACCCTGCCTGGGAGCTGAATGTCCCCGAGACCCTTCCCATCCCCAGGGACACTAAGCTGCCCCAAGCGCTGTAGTTGAGTTGCCCACCTATCAGACATCTACACTCTTCGCCCCACTGATGATGCGGAAGAACAAGCCAGAAAGATCCCAGCTTGACTCCCAGCTCCCAGGCTGGGTTTGTGGGGCTGGTGTGTAGGAAACAAATGCACCTTCTTACTGTGTGGAAATCCCTGATTCCCCTCTCTAAAGTGAGCGACTCCATTAAAACAGGGTGTGGCGTGTTTTAGACACCCCAGGCTAAATCCTCAGCTGTTGTAAATCAGGGTAGCTCCACTTCCTTCAGTGCAGCTAGGCCAATGTCCATCTGCTGCATGTCTGGCCCTCCATCAATACTGCGCCCATCCACCAGAAAGGGTCATTTGAGGAGGTGGAAGAGGAAGTGCTGGCTGAAAGCAGGAGGTGCTGAGGTAGACGGGGAGGGCTGTTTGCTTGCTGTCCGCAAGAGACCATGTCACCAACAGGCTGAGACCCATCTCGCTTTTGAGAGCCAGCTGCCCTGTAACACCCCCTCTCTGCCCCCAGGGCTGAAAAAGGGTAGTAATACCATTAAAGTCACCTTCTTCCTCCCTCCCTGTAGCTGCTGGCTAAGCCTGGAGAGAGGCTTTCATTGGAGCTTCCTGGGTCCAGTCTGTGCCATAATCCTGGTGGGTACCTCACAGAACCACAGGGCCCCATTCTCCTCTCACCTCTGCAACCCTGTGGACTCCAGTGGAGCCAAGAGAAGAATATCTCCCAGAGAATTTAAGATGAAAGAGTCCTATAAGATCCCATGTCATCCACCCCTCTTTGGCCAGTGCAGGATTTCCCCTTAACACAACTGCCTACATTCTGTGGAGTCAGTCAGGGCGAATGGAGTCAGGGTTGGGCACTGGGTTGTGAGTGAGGAGACCTGACTCTGCCACTGGCCTGCTGTGTTAACATGGGAAGTAGCTTCCCCTCGCTGTACCTCTGTTTCTCCTCCCACCCTTTGTCTGTCTTGGCCATAGGCACTGAAAAAAATTAGTGGATGCTCAGCACCCACTGGCAGCCAGCACCCCCACTCATCATCCCCCCCCCAATACCTCCCGTCCATTGGCAGCCACGCTGATCAACTTCTCCCCCTCAATCCCAGTGCCTCCCACTTGCTGCAGTCAGCTGTTCTGTGGTGTGCAGGAGGCACTGGGAGGAAGGTGGCAGAACTGCGTGGGAAGAGGTGGGGTAGGGGTGGGAAGAGGCAGGGGCTTGGTCAAGGGGGAACAGGGCTTGGTACCAAGTGGGGGTGGGAAGATATGGGGTGGGGCCTTGGGAGAAAGGGTCGGGTGGGTGTGGGCCCTGGGGCAGAGAGCGGGGGGTTGAGCGGCCTGTGGGAAGCTGGCACCTGTGGTCTTGCCCTTTTATTTTGCTAACAAATGCTCCAGGACAGGAGCTGCCCCTTTCTATGTGTGAGTACAGAACCCAGTGCAGTCTCATTAGAGCATCTAGGTGCTACCATAATATGATTAATTAAAATATGTCATTACTCATGCAATGCTGCCATGGAAGCAAGTGGAACCTCTGCAGGAATGAGGATAGTTTTGTCCCTTGCCTTGTCTGGCCTGGCTGGTAAATAACCCAGGTGATGGGGGAAGGGAAGGTGGCTGCAGCGTGGGGAGTTTGAGGATGGAAGGGTGCATGCGTGGTAAGGGATAAAGGTAGCAAATGTCCTTGCAGATTCCTCCCCATCTCAGGCAGCAAGTTAAGAATAAATTTCAGCCTCAGAATTGAAGGGAATACTCTATAGACGGGATCTAGAAGCTTTGGGACAAATCACAGGGCTCTAAATCTGGAATAACTGCAGACCCCACTGGAATCAGTGGAGTCACTCCAGATTCAGATAAGAGCAGAATGTGGCCCTCTGGCTGTATGATCACATGTGATGCATTGTAGCCCTGCCTATGCCAACAGTTCCCTGCATGTCCTGGGACCAAGATCTGGCAGGGAATGATGTATGACCCACCTTGACGAGCAGTCACTGGTCGGCAGCAGTCTGATCCCATAGAATTGTTCCGTGCCTCAGCCAGAGAGACTGGCCTTGGCTGGCATGTTTTACAAGGAATATTTCATGCTGTTTCCACAGATAAATTTAACATTTTTTCTTGTAACCCTCTGGATCCTGAGAGACAAACTCTCCTCCCTTAATGAAGATGTGTCCACTCTCAAAGACACCAGGTAGGACAGCACTAAATCTACTAGAACAGGGGTGGGCAAACTTTTTGGCTCGAGGGCCACATCAGGGTGGGGAAATTGCATGCAGGGCCATGAGTGTAGGGCTGGGGCAGGGGGTTGGGGTGCAGGAGGGAGTGCAGGGTGTGGGAGGGGGTGAGGTGTGCAGGAAGGGGCTCATGGCAAGGAGTTGGGGTGGAGGAGAGAGTGCAGAGTGTGGGAGTGAGCTCAGGGCAGGAGTGCAGAGAAGGGTGCGTAGTGCGGGAGGGGGCTCAAGGAAGGAGGTTGAGGTATGGGGTGCAGGAGGCATTCGGGGTGCAGGCTCTGGCCCAGTGTCGCTTACCTGGAGTGGCTCCGGGATGGCAGCGGCACGCAGCAGGGCTCAGGCAGGCTCCCTGCCTGCCTGCCCTGGCCCTGCACCGCTCCCAGAAGCGGCTGGCACCACGTCCCTGCGACCCCGGGTGCGGGGGCGGGCACAAAGGGCACCGCGTGCTGCCCTCGCCTGCGGGTACTTTCCCAGAAGCTCCCATTGGATGTGGTTCCTTGTTCCGGCCAATGTGAGCTGTGTGTGTGTGGTGGGGGACAGCATGCGGAGACCTCTGCCCTGCCCTTCCCCCAGGGGCTTCAGGGATGTGGTGCCGGCTGCTTCTGGGAGTGGTGTGGGGCCCGCTGCGCCACAGGGATGGCAATCCTGCGGGCCGGATCCAAAGTCCTGATGGGCTGGATCCGGCCCATGGGCCGTAGTTTGCCCACCCCTGTATGAGAAGGGTCCAGTGAGCCTCCTGTATGGGAATTCCTGTGGGATTCTGCACAGATTGCTGCCACCATACAGCTGAGCACATGCCACTGTAGGGTTTCCAGGTTATCTTGCGACCTTCTGCTTGATGAGAGAGTAACAGTCTCACTGCCCAAGGAGCTGATAAACCCCAAGTCACATCAGCAGTCCCTTACTCGTGAGTCCTAAAGTTGTCCATGGGACCATCTGCCAAAATAAGGACAATTTGCATGAATAAGGGTATGCTGTATTGGACCTTAAATTAGACACAGCACAGCCAGGGTGGCAATTGAAGGGTCAAGTTAGGAGAGAGGAGAGGTCTACAGCAGTAAAGGATAATTATGGGAGATACTTTTCTGCCATGTGTATCATGTTGGTCCCTGGATGGATATTGAGATAACAGTTGCAGTCTCTTCGAAAGCCGCTGAAGTCAGTGGAAGTAATGGTACGGAAGAGACTGCTAGATCAGTGAGGCTCTTGCAGTAAGTCCTGCGGCACATTCAGAGTGTGGCATGCAAATGGTCTTTAAAGCAACTCATTATGAAATCTGTTTGTTTGGGAGGAACACGATCAGGGCTGCCAGCTGGGAGTGCTGGATGGAGACATGAGAGGGGAAAAGATTTTAGAACCAGATCAGAATATTGAGGCTTCAGAAAGCCATGGTATTACTGCACATGCCTAGTGCTTTGTAAGGAGAAATGCAAGTCTGTGCTGCTATTCAGAGCTGGGCCATGTGCTACTTAGGGAGGAAACTCATCTCTTTTCCCTGGGGCTGTGGATACTGTCGAGGTAAAGTGCCATCCATTGAGGAGGAAGGAAAGTGTGGCTTACTTGTTGCTCTGTAGCAACCCCCTGTCTATTTATGGAACAACATAGATGGGTTCCTGAGACCTCAATATCCTGTTCCCACTTGATTGTCACATTGCCAGGACCTGATATGAAGGGATTAAAAACAAAACTGTAATGAGAGGTTGAACCATTTGCTTTGGAAGAGCCACCTGTGTGTGTGTGGGAAGATGGTTGGGCACAATATTGTATTTTGGATTCATAGGCGTAAGTTGCCATTGTGTTCGTCTTGACAGTAACCCTAAGACACAGTAAAGCGGGTGCCAGATGTTTCACCCCACACCACCCAGGGCCCCCTGACTCAGTAACTCACCGTAGGGTCATTATAACAGGATCTCTCCATCTGCCTTTATCCAGACTACTGACTTTTAAAGCTATCGCCCAGCTATTCATTCTGGGCTGCACATGGAGTCTTGGTCTCTTCCAAGTCGGCTCAGCAAAAATGGTCATGGCGTATTTATTCACCATTGTCAACAGCCTGCAGGGAGCCTTCATCTTCCTGGTGCACTGTCTCCTCAATCGCCAGGTAATGCCCATGGCGCGTCATCAGCCACCCAGTGACTTCACGGGCCTAGCAGTGGCCTGGTCTGAGGGTGTTAGTTACATGATGTAGTGACCATGTCCCTTATTCTCCAGGTGAGAGAGGAGTACAGGAGATGGATTAAAGGCACAAGAAAACCCAGCCCCACAACTCAAACTTTTAGTCCGTCCATGTCCACTGTCACTACCAGCACCAAGATGGTAAGAGATCCTCTATTCTGTTCCAATACCAGCATCCACAAGTCGCATCCATCTGGGTCTGTTGTAGTTCCTGAGGTACCTTGTCCCCTGAGTGACACATGCTTGTTTTAATCCATCTGAGAACGGCATTGAGAGTCTTAGTGAGATTCAGTTGCATCCAAATCAAAGGGGAATCCCAGGTCTCCTAGAACCCAGCACAGAAGTCCTCCTTTCTTGCATTCCTCCACGTTCCCTTCCCTTTGCTTCTTTGGAGGCTCCATGCATCACTCACTGTGGAACAGGCAGGGAAGGTGTTGGCTTTGACACAAATTTAGGTAATTATCCAATTGGGGAGGCTTGCAAACCAAAACCTAGGTGGAAATCTTGTCAGTGCAGATGGGCCATCCCCAACAAAGCGTTAGCACTGGATGGAATTTCCTCTGGCTCCGTTACCTCTACTGGGAAAGAATCCAGAAGCTTTCTCTGGAGGGAAAAGTGGAGCCTTATATCTGGAAAAACCTCCCTGCTCCAGTCCCAGCACGAGAGGCCACAACCTTTGTCTGGAAGTGGACATTTCTGGTTTATTTAGAGCAGCCTATATTGACTGCTACTTTATGGCTTACCTGTGCATGGGTAGGGGAAGGGAACGGGCTTTGTCTACACTTATGTTATTTTCCTGTACGTGATGTCACCTCAGGGGAGGCTGGCTGAATTTTGCAGACTCTGCACTATTCCTGAATGAGGACCCAGTCCTGATCCCATTGACGTTGACTGGAGTTTTCCCATGGGATGGGCACTTAATGTATATTTGTTTTGCTGGCAGTGAATTGCGGAGACCCCTCCACTTCATCTCTGTGAATCAGTCACCTCTCCAACCACCGATGTTTATCATACAGCCGGCTTTGCTGTGCCAGTGGGGCAGGTGCTTCAGCCGCCATTCTTCATCGCAACTACATACAAAACCTGGAAGGGGAAGCGGGATTGGACCAAATCCTCTCTCTGATCCAATTCCACAACTGCTGAATTCAAAGGCCACCGTAGGGTTGTAGCTGGGTGTCTCTCCCAGATTTAAAGGGTCAGATCCCAGGTCACAGAGTAGTTATTTCAGTGCAGGGATAGCTCAGTGGTTTGAGCATTGGCCTGCTAAACCCAGGGTTGTGAGTTTAATCCTTGAGGGGGCCATTTAGGGAACTGGGGTAAAAATTTGTCTGGGGATTGGTCCTGCTTTGAGCAGGGGGTTGGACTAGATTAGGGTTACCATCCATCCTCTTTTTCCCGGACATGTCCGGCTTTTCGGCAGTCAAACCCCCGTCCGGGGGGAATTGCCAAAAAGCTGAACATGTCCGGGAAAATGGCGGCTCTGCTCCTCCCCTGACTCTTCGGCTCTGTTTAAGAGCCGAGCTGCCCGAGCGCTATGGGCTTCAGGCAGCCCCCTTGCCTCCGGACCCCAGCCGCCGGCCGGGCACTTCCCCTCCTGGGCTGTGAGCAGGGTGTTACTTCGCAAGTGGAGAACCAGTGTACACTGGTAGTAGTTTGTAGTCTTTAAGCTCTCCATATGTCAGTATATAATGCCTGCATCTGTAACTTTCACTCTATGCATCTGAAGAAGTGAGGTTTTTTACCCACGAAAGCTTATGCTCAAATAAATCTGTTAGTCTTTAAGATGCCACCAGACTCCTCGTTGTTTTTGTAGATACAGACTAACACGGCTACCCCCTGATACTTGACATCCTAGATGGGAAGCCCAAAACTGTAATCAAGGCGGGGGAGATTGGAACCAAATGGGTGGAGGTGGCAGAGAAGAAGAAAGCTAGTAGCAGTTGGTGGGGATACGAGAAGGGGCCACCCGAGACGAAAGCCCACTATCGGCGTCAGCCCAAGGCCCCACCTAGCAAGGAGGAGCCCTCCACACAGCCAGGGAGACCCCAGATGCCCTCTTGTCCCACCACCCAACTCTCCAACTACCCACCTCACCCCAGCCCACAGTCAGCTGGGCAATGCTTTAAATGTAATGAGCTGGGACATGTGAAGGCCAGCTGCCCCAAGAGCACCAGCCGACTGCAACTCATCACCATGGGATCCCACCAAGAGCCTTCAGGCCCAGATGCCTCGCAAATACCCCCAGAGCAAAGGGAATCTGTGAATGTGGGCAGATGGAAGATTACTGTGTGGAGAGACACTGGAGCACAGGTGTCAGCTATCCACCAATCCCTGGTGGACCCCAAATTCATCAACCCAGAGGCCCAAGTGACAGTATAACCCTTTAAGGCCAACTCTTTTAACTTGCCTACAGCCAAGTTGCCTGTCCAGTACAAGGGTTGGTCAGGAATATGGACTTTTGCAATCTATGATTCATAGATTCATAGATTCTAGGACTGGAAGGGACCTCGAGAGGACATCAAGTCCAGTCCCCTGCCCTCATGGCAGGAACAAATACTGTCTAGATGATTATCCCATTCCCATGTTGCTGGGAGAAGACTAAGCCAACCAGGTAAGGCTAACAAAAAGGGTGGGGATTTTCACCCGCAGCCAGGCTAAACAGGCGTCCACACCTAACTCCATTCCTGAGCCTCCTACAAGGACTCAGTCTGTGTCCCTGATACCACAGGCCTGGGGACCCAGCCAGAGGTGGTGGAACCAGACCCCAGACCAGAGTCTATGGCAACCGTTTTAGATCCAGTTCCTGGGACTCATCTAGAACCAGCCCAAGGATCGGAACTGGTGGATCAGTCAGCACCAGAGCCCGTGCATGCAACCCCACCAGAGACAGGGGAGCCAGCACCAAAGGGCTCCACAGAGCCTGCACCTGCAGCAGCAGCTAAACCGGCGCAAGAAGCTCAACCGGAGCCTGAAATATCACCTAGTGCACCAGCAGAGAGCGGGTCACAATCAATGGAGACACCCCCATCACATGCATCGTTTCCAGTGGGACCAAGCCCAAATCCACAACCCAGTGAGGAACTAATGTCTCAAGCATCAAGGGAGCAGTTCCAGGCAGAGCAGGAAGAGGATGAAAGCCTCAAGGGAGCTTGGACAGTGGCACAGAGTCAGGGCTGGCTCTAACTTTTTTGCTGCCCCAAGCAGCAAAAAATGTGCCGCCCCCTGAACTCCCGCCGAGCGCCGCGCTGTGCCACCCCCCCAGCGCTGCCCCCCCGCCGAGCGCCGCGCCACCGGAGCCCGCCCCCCAAGCTGATTGCTGCCGGAACACCCCCCCCCAGCGCTGCGCCGCTGGAGCCCGCCCCCCCGCCAAGCACCGCGCCGCCGGAGTGCCCCCCCCGCGGAATGCCGCACCGCGCTACCCCCGCCGCCCCTTACCAGGTGCCGCCCCAAGCATGTGCTTGGTTGCCTGGTGCCTGGAGCCGGCCCTGCACAGAATGACCCACCACCTCTCAGCTCTTCTAATAGGTCCAGGTTTGTTGTAGAAGAAGGACTTTTATACAAGGAAACCTTTTCTGGTGGGCACAAAGAGGACTGGCATCCTCAGAGACAGTTGGTAGTTCCAACTAAGTATAGGGAAAAGCTCTTGAGCATAGCCCACGATCACCCTAGTGACCATGTTGGGGTGAACAGGACCAAAGACCGTTTGCGAAAGTCATTCGAATGGGCAAGGCTGTTTCTCCTTATGTACAGTCTTGTAAGGTGTGCGATCTCCCATGAGAGTATAAACTGCAGCATAAGGTCTGTCTGATTCCCTGTTGCCCTGTGAGGGCACCCAGCACACTGCAGGGGTGAGGGAAGATAATAAATAATAAAGGGCCCATCCCCTTAGTGGGATCAGTTACAGACTCCAGTGAGGTGAACTTGGCCCAAAGACTCTGTTTCCAGACACCAGAGATAAGGGGACTAAAGAGGAAGATTCTGTGACCGAGTGTGTCTCTGTTTTGCTTTGGATCTTGTTTCTGGTTAATAAGGAAGCTGCCAGGGTCATAATCCCAGAGCTTGTCTTCTGAACAGCCATGGGACGCCGAGGCTTCGCATTTCCTCCAGGTAAGTAGAACAGAGTTAGTGATGACAGAGCCATGATGTAGGGGAGAGTGTGGCAGGCAAGCCGCTATCCTCGGAATAGCTGGGAGTAGCCAGCTGGCAACTCATTGGAGATGCCAGGGAGGGGAAGTTAGAAGGGTTCTGTCCTCAGGTACTTCGGAGGTTCCCTGGCCTATCAGGGGACATCTACACAGCCTGTGGCAGGGACCCTCCCAGCTCACCTTGACAGACTTGGGCTTGTGCTACCATGATAAAAATAGCTGTGCAGACAGCACTGTTAAGTTGTGGTTTGGACCAGCCAAGGCCCATCCCCCTCCCTACACTTCAGAGCCTGACCTCCCGTCCAAGCCACAACTTAGAATCTCTGTGTACGCAGCTACTTTTAGCACAGTCGCACGAGCCCGAGTCTGTGGAGCTGGGTTCTGAGCCTTGCTGCTGCAGGCTGCTGCATGGTGTAGATGTACATTCTGTTGCTAGTTGGGCTTCTCAGGTGGTCAAAGAGCAGCTGCAGCACCAACTGTTGGTTAAAGAGATTAGCAAGATACATGCTCTCCTGCAAACTTACTGTGCATCTTGCCTCTCACTAGGGAGTGTGTTTGCTTCCTTGCTTAGCACAGGGCTTGCTGACCCATGAGGAACAGATGGGAGAAGGTTATATCTGACAGAACCCAAAATGACAAGGGCAAAGGGGGAAAGTCCGTGTGGTGATTGTGTGAATTTTGGTTATGATTTATGATTCCTTTGCATGCTTCAGTTTCCCTCTGGCCTTTGCATTTTTGTGCATTGAGCATAAAGGTATTTGACTCAGCAGTCTGGTTGGAGACCAGAGTCATGAACAAACTAAGTTCGTTAGAGCTGGGTTTAGAGCTGAGCGTTCAGAGACACAGGAAACACACCTGGATCTAAAAAAAACAGAGACGGCAAGAGAGAGCCAAGATGGTTTGTTCCTACAGCAGCCTGGATCATGGCAGCCCTGGCATTGGTCAGCATGGACCATGTCTTAACCTGTGCCTCTCTATGCTAAAGTAAGGACTGTCCGATTCTGTAGGCCAAGTGGCTAATACATTCTTACCTTGTTTTGAAAAGGCTGCCTGGCATTACTGCAAATACTCACTGAGAGCATAGTTCCCTGAAGGAGTAAAGAACAAACCTCCCACTGGAGTCTGACTCTGCTGGACTTACTACAGGGAGCCATGGAAAATGACGGGGATTGCTGGCACCCAAAGGCCTGGTTTTGGAGGCCACGGGTCTGCCCCTGTGGAACTGTGTAGGTCTTTGGGGCCTAGCACACTACAGGGATCTCTCCAAAGGGACTGGTTACAGGCTGCGGCATAGACCAGACCCTGTGAATCCATGACCCCCTACCCCAGGGCATTGAGAAGCCACTCAGACTCCAGCCCCCCCATCTGCCTCCTACAGAGCATTAGAGATGAGAGTAGAATGGAAAAATCCAGTGCCTAGCTTCAATTCTCCTCACATCAATGAGGTCCAATGCCCTGATCCTAATTCCGATTTGCTAAGTCCCAGGATAAATCCAGGTAACGCCAATAAAAGTAAACCAATGGAGTCATTCCAGATTTACATCAGTGTAACTGAGATTAGGGTCAGACTCATACAAAGGTGCTTAGAATCCTTTATTTAGTAATATCTCCCTCTGTTGTTTATTGCCATATCTTAGATTTTAAACAAGTTTTGTTCATCTTTTCTCAAGTGTTTTTTCTCCTTGGACTGTTCTGGTTTCTATCCAGGGCCGGTTCCAGGGTTGTTGCCGCCCCAAGCAGCAAAAAAAAAAAAAAAAAAAAGAAAAAAAGCCACGATTGCGATCTGCGGCAGCTCTACCGCCGCCGCTTCATTCTTCGGCGGCAATTCAGCGGCAGGTCCTTTGTTCCGAGAGGGAGTGAGGGACCCGCCGCCGAATTGCCGCCAAAGAGCCGAACATGCCGCCCATCTTCATTGGCCGCCCCAGGCACCTGCTTGCTGAGCTGGTGCCTGGAGCTCGTCCTGTTTCTACCACCAGCAAGCACCCAGAGGACACAGAATTGGTAAGTTCTCAGGTTAGTGAAACATAATGCCTTGTGTAACGTTTTTGTACCCATAATAAGTGAGTCCCATATAGACTGTCTGCAATGAAGCTGGTATTGGTTTGGCAGCTCTCAGCAGCATTATCTGGACTCTAATGTGGGGGTTCACTGCATCTGGGTCATGAGCAGTAGCAGAATGTCCAAAGGG